TTCGTATTAAAATTTCGCTTTCTCACGGTCACTTGCAGGGGCCATCTTGGTGTTTAATAAAACAAACAAAGATTTGTCCCTAGGTGCTCATAAAATTCAAATCTGAACTATGTGTTGGACGTGAATATGGTATCTAGTCATTACAGTACAACATATCAAAATATGTATGCGCAACAAAGTCAATTCTCTTGCGCTTTGTTTTTATGCAGCAACCAGACTTTTGGATGGTCATTCAATCTCTTTCAAGTCCAAGAATTACATTTTAGTAAAGTGCATTAGTCACGTCAAGTTGATTCATTCTACATCTATTTCATGAACCATCCAAATTTATGCCAAAAATGGAAAGTAAAAGGACAATAACTTGAAGTTAGATTTATTTTTCTAGCTTGGTCCGAAGACAAAACCATAAGGCATTCCTCGGACCTGGACTGCAATTTTGCCGATCCGAAAAAATGTAGATGGAAGAATGTTGAGGACAAATGGGGACTGGACTCACTAGATTTCTACTTGTTTGAGAAGGTCGACTTCACAGAGTTTCCTGCTTTGAGGGTGGGACCTGGCCCTACCAGGGTTCATCAAGGTTATTATTCTTTAGCATTTTAAATTCATCTTCTGTATAATGGAAATTGAATTAAACGCTGTACTTACTCCTATAATCATTAGTCACAGTACTATTTGTTGCGTTTTTTGCAAAATACGGTCTTGTAGGAGAGAAAATGATTTTTACTGGCGATAAGAAAAGAGAAGAGCAGCACGCGATCTATCTCTCATCACTCATTGGATGTCAAAATACAACAGGAAATCTTACATTCACGTAAACTATTAAAACTGCTTTGATTGTAGCACAATGACTGATCTATGTCTCAATTTTGCAGGTACTGGGCCTACAACAGCGCACAAATAGAAATCGTTTTGTTCGAAGACAAGCCCCATGGTGGCTACAAAATGTTGCCAGAAAAGCCATATGTGGATTGTGGTTCGTTTTGTAAATCAATTGGAAAGCTTTAAAAACTTGTAATTGCATTACTGAGGTCATAGAACACTTGTTTTGGACAGATAGGTATCAAACAATTAATGGACAACCAGAGTTGGGAGGAATACTTTAAGTTAAATTAATGTTTCTTTGTTAGTTTACAATGTGGACTATGAGTTAACCTCAATAAACATTGCCATTACAAAAATCTGAAAAAGTACCACTTCTTTTCAAAGCTCGTTCATCTTTCCTTTACCTAAGGCCTTGTAAGAGAAGGAAAACATAACT